GGACAGCGTCAGGAAAATTACGTTCCTATTAAAAAAAAAATTAAGAGACAAGGTTTTATAGTCTGCTCTCCAAATCTCTCTCTCGAGATGTCTATTTGGGCGGTTGCTTAATGTTCTCCTGATCTTATGCTGAAATAAGTCTTGGAATGTTTGCTCCTGAAGAAGATGTCCAAACATTTACATGATAACACTTCACTTGTTTAGAGATCTCTTTTCTTATGTGCCTTTGTGTATGTCAGTACCATGGACAGCTGCCAGCTTTCTCTATAGGATGCTGCTTGCTTCACCACAGGTGATGGGGGAAATAAGCGAAGGATGCAATTGAAATTCACATGCCCTCTCTCTCAAATCTAAGCCATTCTTTTCCATGTATCCTTTGGCCATTCCACACTTTCCCAAGTTCTATACCATTCCTTCACTCGTCCCAAGTACTCTGGGATGCATGGGGGTGCTTGACAGATGTAAGGAGAGTTTCCTTATGCATGATAGATAGCGGGTGTCTCACAACCCTTCACTGTGGATCTCAGAGTACTTCACATGGTTGTTGTGGGGCTTAATGATTCTTGTAAAGTAAGTTGAATACCCACTATACAGAAAGGCAGTCTGAGGCACAGAGAAACCATGCCTCAGCTGGTGTAAACTTCCATAGAATCATAGAACTGGAAGGGACCTCAAGAGGTCATCTAGTCTAGTCCCCTGCAGTCAAGGCAGGATTAAGTATTATCTAGACCATCGCTGACAGATGTTTGTCTAACCTGTTCTTAAAAATCCCCAGTGATGGAGATTCCACAACCTCCCTAGGCAATTTATTTCTGTGCTTAACCACTCTGACAGTTAGGAAGTTTTTCCTAATGTCCAACCTAAACTGCCCTTGCTGCAATTTAAGCCCATTGCTTCTTGTCCTATCCTCAGAGGTTAAGAAGAACAATTTTCTCCCTCCTCCTTGTAACAACCTTTTATGCACTTGAAAACTTATGTCCCCTCTCAGGCTTCTATTCTCCAGACTAAACAAACCCAATTTTTTCAATCTCCCCTCACAGGTCATGTTTTCTAGACCATTAATAATTTTTGTCGCTCTTCTCTGGACTTTCTCCAATCTGTCTACATCTTTCCTGAAATATGCACCCAGAACTGGACACAATACTCCAGCTGAGGCCTAATCAGCATGGAGTAGAGTGGAAGAATTACTTCTCATGTCTTGCTTACAACACTCCTGCTAATACATCCCAGAATGATGTTTGCTTTTTTTGCAATAGTGTTATACTGTTGACTCATATTTAGCTTGTGATCCACTATGACCCCCACATCCCTTTCCGCAGTACTCCTTCCTAGACAGTCATTTCCCATTTTGTATGTGTGCAACTGATTGTTCTTTCCTAAGTGGAGTACTTTGCATTTGTCCTTACTGAATTTCATCTTATTTACTTCAGACCATTTCTCCAGTTTGTCCAGATCATTTTGAATTTTAATCCTATCCTCCAAAGCACTTGTAGCCCCTCCCAGCTTGGTATTGTCCGCAAACTTTATAAGTGTACTCTCTATGCCATTATTTAAGTCATTGATGAAGATATTGAACAGAATCAGACCAAGAACTGATCCCTGCGGGACCCCACTCGTTATGCCCTTCCTGTATGACTGTGAACCACTGATAAGTACTCTCTGGGAATGATTTTCCAACCAGTTATGCACCCATCTTATAGTAGCTCCATCTAGGTTGAATTTTCCTAGTTTGTTTATGAAAAGGTCATGCAAGACAGTATCAAAAGCCTTG